ACGCGTTGGCGCACACGAAAGCCAGACATATGGGACACGCAGTTGTTAGAGTACAAGGTAGCTACATGTCTATAGGCGTAGACCGATATCAACCAGAAAGCAGACAGGAAAAGTTGGGCGACCCACTGATGAGCCGGAGCTCTCGGAGCTGTGTCAAGCAGCGGCAGAATATCGGTGAAACACGTGTCTGAGCCTTTTAGCAAGTACCTAGGCTCTTAGTATGGTAAGTAACAAAGTCAATGTATACTACTAAGGACTGTCTGATGGCAGCATGTGTACATTTCACAGGGGTTGAGGGTTTCAACACGAATATACACTTACAATTTCAGTCTATAGACCTTAAATATACTGATATATACCTCGATCAGAAATGAATTTCTCTGGAGATTAAAAAGCTAGACTTTTATATATCAGATCCAGTTAAATTCAGTATATATAAGGGAGGTAGGCAGAGCCTTTGAAAACCCTACTTACAGATAGATGCTGTCAAATTATGCATGGGTTGCAAAGTCATATATGGACAGATAGAACTGGTTTTGGGAAAATAGCATTTGATAAAAAACGATCCAAGAAGCACCTTTGCCCTTCATTACTTCATGTTGGTTGATGGATACTTTAAGTGTTTAAGAGTTTTCCTCACATCCTCCCTAGGTGGTTCCGTCTTCCAGACATGCTCAATGCTCGATCTGCTCACCGTGCGGTGGCTCACGAGGAGGATGGCCGCATTTTTGTCACTGGTGGTGAAGATGAATTCGGTTATGACATGTACCTGGTAGAATACTGCACCCTTCCGTTTGGCACCTCTGCAGAAACCGTAGAATCAAACAGATTTCCCATCTGGCATCGTGCGGCACCCATGAATCAGAAGCGCAAATACCATAGTCTGTGCTACACAAAGGGTAAAATTGTAGCTGTAGGAGGTTTTGTCAATCGCCTTGAACTCACGCGGACAGTTGAAGTATTTTCACCTCCAGATCGCGCTAATCCCTTGGGTCAATGGACATTCGTAAGACCTCTCGACGTACCCTATAAATATCCCTTTGCTGTAACCGTGGATGACTAATTCTTTGTTTTCCGTGAGTGCCTGTTCCTTGGTCTTGCATGCGTGTTCACTGTGATTAGCTTGATAAAAGTTACGATAGTTGTTTGCTCTCTGACACATGCGTGTGAAATAATCGCTAGTTTAGTATTTAGCATTCTTATTCCCCAAGGTTCAGCTTTCAAATTGTGTCTTCTTGGTGAAACAAAATTGTGAAAAGGGAAAGAATGCAGATTATAATTCCATAAAGTAAGTAAAAGTTCAATTACCTTTGGTCCCTAATTGTTACTTGCTATGGCATAAGTACCAGAAGCCATACCAGTGGTGTCTACATGAGGCTTTTGTATGGTTAAAACTTTATATTCACACGTCAAAGTACTCGAGGACGTCATTTTTCTTTCAGGCGGAACCACCTCCCACCACGTACAAAGAACCCCTCTTAAAGCTTTGGTAAGTGTCAGTTTATGGAATGTGAAATTAACATTTGTTAACGCCAGAACGGCACTATCGATACAAAATTAGTTTCGTAAAAAAATTCAAAAACGAATTTGACATTATGCGCGGATGAAAGTAAAAAAGTTGTAATAATATCAGCAGAAACTGTCCTCTTAGAGCAATATTTAGCGACGTTTTCTGTTAATTGTGAACTTAAAAACTTACAAATAAAGGCAGTTAAAAAACCCTTACAGTGAAAATGGAGGCAGAGTTCAACGGGTCTCCAGTTTCACAAAGCGTGTAAGAGAAAAAAATTGCTTAGGAAGATAAGACAGAAACGTGAAGTAGAAATATGTGTAAGATGTCTGAAGATGGTTAGTAACCAACGAAACAGCAGCAGTCTAGACTGAGTACGACCACGTGGCTTCGTTTGATTGAGCGGTGGTTAATGGTGACATACAGGTTCCCGGGTACACGTGGCCGAGAAAATAGTTTCAAA